TCTTCTACTTTCAAAATAAAAGTTTTTACCTTAGAGTCATGTGGGCATTGCAGGTGAGTCCTTTGAAAGTTATACGCCAATTCCAAATTCTTTTGCAAATGTTTAAGCAACATCTTCATATTCGCTAACGGGAGAATGTTTATCATAAATGCTACAAAGTTACGCAAACTGACAGACGAGACGAAATTGCTGAAAATGTCGGCGTATCGGGCCAATTTAGTTGAAGTTTGTTCCAAAAATGCTAAATTTTAACAAAAATAACCGGCGCATTAGTATCGCTCAGGAGCTGTTCAATAATGTCACCGACGATGCAGATTTGCTCGAAAGGGTCATAACTGGGTATATAGTTATGACATCGAAATCGTCAATGCCTAACCATCCAAAGGAAAATCCAGGCCCAAAACAAGCATGCCAAGATCGGCCAAACGTGAAGGTTTTGCTCACTATTTTCTTTGATTACATTGACGTGTTGCATCGTAATCTCTTGCGTGAAAGTCGTGCGATCAAGAAGGAATATTATTTTAAAGTTATGGATCATTTGTGTAAAGCAATAAGAATATTGGACCACGGCGATGTGCCACCTCACAGTTCATCGCTTGGTTGGAATTTTTTGGTCAAAACTATACCGTAATCATGCCTCAGTTACTGTATTCTTGTACTGTATACTTGGCATCCTGCGATTTTTTCCTAAAACGTGAAAGGACGGACTTTCGCAACGATTGGGGAGATAAAGACCGCATGGCGGAAAGAGCTCAAGGCCATTTCAATTGGCGCATATTAGAAGTGCTTCGAGAATTAAAAAAAGCGCTGGGAGATTACTTTGAAGGGGACACAACAGATATTGATGAATGAAGAGACAAGTTTTGAGAACACACCTCATATATGTATTTTCTAACGCATTTAAAAACCAATCCAACCCAATAAAATCTGTTTTTCAAAAGTTTTAGAAATATACGATTTCAAGTAACGTCTACTCTTTCTTCTTTGGCTTGCCTTGCAAATAAGTATCAAATGCTTGCATACGTGTGTGTATTGCTTATTCATGAATGACAAAGTGTATGATATAATGGTCACAGCTCATTGGGTATTATTTTTTATATTTATGTGAATATAATAAGTTTAGTCCATAACTTCTCTCCATGCCCTTTAAAGTGTGTGTTTTTTTTTCAATTTCATTGCTTATCATAAACACAATTGATTTTTACATGGGGTCTTAATATTGCTCAATTAAGTTGCTGGTAATTGAAACGAGAAAAATGTTAGAAAATAATAACATCTTTAGCGTTGCAGTTGTTGTTTATGTATTTTGTATAAGATTTTAAAATTTTCTAATTTTCGCGTTATTACTGCTTAATAAAAGAGAGATTGTTAAAATAAAACATTTTTAATAATAAGAAAATCTTGTACATACGTATTATTGGAGTTTATTATGAGCAACTCAGTTTAGCCTCTTATAGATATATGTTTCTTTATAACGAACACCACTTGTGACAAAAGATGTGTGTGTTAAATATATACGCAGATGTATACAACACATAGAAGAGCTTAGGATAGATCCACTTTTTATTATACCCATCGGTCCAGAATTATATCTTGTATCGATATAAGCATCATTGTACGTCTGTCCATTTGATATCTGTCCAAGTACTTTGGTTTTCAACCTACAAGTTACAACTTTTACGATGTTTTGGCGAAATTTTGTACACTCGTATGTTATGCATCAAGAACAAAACCAATTAAAAACGAATTGGACTATTTTGTCGGCCATTTCCCCATTACGCCTTATTTTGACAAAGTTGTGACATGAGAAAAAATGAAAACTCAATCTTCATATGGTGAAGAGCTCCGAAATTGATTGATTAATTGATATTAGTGATTTGATATCAAGATTGACCGGCCTAAAATTGAAAAACATGGGTCAGTTTTTCGAATCCCATCCCATATAAGCATAGCCGTGAGAAATAAAGCGATATACAGCGAAAACTTCCAATTTTTAATATTTCATAATGGAAATCGATGCTTAACGGTGGCCGGTGATATGAAGAATGGTCGTTCTAAAATTGAACTGCGTATATCCATTTTTTAGATCCCGTTCTATATAAGAATCCCCATGAATAATGACGATTTGCATAGAAAAAAAATTTAATTTTTAATATTTTTTCATTAAAATTAATCCATAATTAAAAATTTGACAATGAAAGTTAACTGAACCAAATTCAAACTACATAGCCTTATTTTTTGGAGCTAGTATCACATAATGATTCTCCCCAATCATTTTTGGCAAGCAACTTTAATTTTTATAATTTCGTAATGAAAATTGGTCTGTAGTAGCAATGTAGCTCAAAAATTAACCATCGGAAATTTGGATCATACTGGCGAATTTTTTAGACCTCGCCGCCCATGAAGAGAAAGCCTTATACGACGACAAAGTCTAATTCGTATTTTGTAGCAGTAGAAAAAAGTAATAAAATCTCTAAAAAGTGTACTAGGTTTGCAAAATTTTGATCAGGTCAGTTGAAGTTTTCGGCACTTTCCAATAAGGAGGCTTTCATGAAACTAATGTAAAATTTTTGTTGCCTTTCGCCAAAATGATAGAATAACTGCAATAGGCAAAGTACTGTAGGGTACTTAATAGTCGGCATTGCCCAACTTTGACTTGTTTTACCATGAGTACTTCTGCATCTGCCAAAAACTTTCCTTCCTAGGCTTTTTCATAAAAAAGTATACATTTTGAAGAAAAAGAAACAAATGTACCCCGCTGAACATATTTTTACCCGCTGAACATATTTACGCGAGAGTTGACAGAAATGTCAATTAAAGTGCAATCAACCTAACAGACGTAGAAAATAACTCTTACCAACTTTAGGTCACAGTATTGTATTGGGTCGTCCAATAAGTAAGGTGTCTAACGAAAAAAGAAGCCACAACTCAAAAATTTTTTCTAATGTCAAAGAAAATAACCCTTCAGACGATTACATGACACTCATAGGACTTGTTCCCGTAGAAAGTAAACATCACTCACGATAAAAATGTTAAATGTCCTATTTCCTGTTTTAAACGCTATCTTTCGAAAGTTAAAAGTACAACGGAAACTAAGCGAATTCTCGATATATATTGAGGAAATATGTTTTGTTAGGTAGAATGACTAAACAATGAATGGTTGAACTTGTGCGTCCTCGTAAAAGAGAAAGAGACGAAGACCATTCAGATCGCCCGAATAGAATTGCAACACTAGAAACACAATTGAAAAAATCCGCGATTGCTTCCCGAGACGTCGCATAAGTGCTTGAAAATTGGATGTGAATTTGTACGAAATGAAGAATCTAAAGAATGGATTATGTCGGGTGGAAGTACACCAAAATGGACAACGGCCCAAAGATCGGCGGGAAAACAATACCTAGGGCTAATGCAAATATTGAATGCATTTCGAATCCATCAAGTGTGTCTTTCGGTAACGAAAGTTGTTGGTTGTACAGTCTGCTTTTCATGTGCGAATGTAGAAGTACGTTAGATTGCAAATGAGGTGGGCATAGCGGATAGCCTTTTAATTGGAGCATTGGATTTCTAAGAAACGAATGTTTACGCACTAATCAGAAGGGATTATTTTACAAAACACTTGTTGTCATACCCTCCGTTCTCGCGAAAAGGCAGGCCACTAATTGCTCCGATATACAACGTACATGACTTATTTTGCTCGCGTCTTAAAACACCGCGCCCGTCATAACACTATGCCTTGTTGCAATCGGCTCGCATATTTCAAGTGAAAGGGGAAAACCAGTAAGCGGGAATAACTCTAGTCTTTTGTATAATTTTTGTATTTCTTTTAGAGAGTGAAAATAAAAAAATAAAAAAAAAATAAAAATTGTCGTTAAGTTTAAAACCAATGAAATCAAAAACAAGTAAAAGCACTATAGTGGGCCACGGTCACCATAAAACTCCCTACCCCAACCTACAGGCATTCAGGTGACGACTTTTCTAAATCAGATACTATATGGGAACTGGTCGAAAAATTGGTCCGATACGAATCGGTGTCAATAGCGTTCGTTCTCGCGCCAAAACACGTCAGTATACTAAATTTCTTCGAAATGTCTGTAGTCTGATTACGAAAGCTCAAGACAGACAAACATACATACATACAAGCTTACAACAATTTTGGATTGATCAGTATAATGAAATATCGGCCTATCTCAAATTCTTCTGAAAGTTGCACCCATCTTAATATACTCTTATGCAGTTCAACTGGGTACAGTTGTATAGACTCCAATATCGCTTCCTAAGCGCTTACCATAATTAAAATTCTGTTTGAAAACTCGGATCTTCGTGAAAATTTTTGCTTGGCAAAGTTTTCACTTTATAAATAGCTTCAAAAAAGAGTCGCACTCTATTGGATAACAATAGTGAAGAAGGGTCTAATTTGAAAGACTGGTTTTATACGTAATAGACGTAGTAGAGAGAGACTCTCCATACTCTACTACGTTATCTTTATTCATTTAAAAAACAACAAAAGCATCCTACGAAGTAATTTTTTTATCTATTCGTGCTCCGCAAAGAAATGCTGTTTTGAGCGCCCTGTTCCATCGCAATGGCTTACATCAAAAATAATTTCCCTCCTGGACCACACACACATACAGACGGACAGACATGGCAAAATCAACTCAGAATTTCCCACTGATCAGGAGTATACACTTTAGAGGGTATCTGAAGCTTTCTCTTCGTATGTTTGACATAGATAATGGAAAAAAAACAAAATAAGTTTACCCCCATCGTACAGGGGTGGATATAATAAGACGTAATCATCATAAAAGGAAAAAATTTTGCTTTTCTAAGAGATTACCTAAGACTTCATAATAATAATTTAATGCTTTCGAAATGCATTCTCTTAATAAATACGAATTTCGATGAATATAAAGAAGAAGAAGAGTAGAGGAGTATATTCGAGTGTAACGACACTTCCTTTTTTGTTGTTGTTTAGCTTGTGATTCAGAATCATAATGACTTACTTGAAATCGCCCACTGCTCATTATCCATGATACCCCGTAAGATTGCATTTAAATCTCGTCGACATAATTCGTCCTTAAGATATTTTAAACTATTTTCGAATAATTGAAATTGATTTTGTGTTAAGTATGATGAGCCACTAACGTTAGTTGATATTTGGGCAACTCCCGTAACAGTTTGTATCGCTTCTGTCGAAAGCGGTAATATTAGACCTATTAATGATAACAAAGTGAGCCGCACAACGACAGAGTGTTTATAAATTTTGAAAGATTTTTTTAACATTTTTTATGTATTTTCCTTTTCTTTTTTTTAATATTATTTTAACTCTTTAACATATGTATCTATACATATGTATGTATAAAATTTTCATTTATTTTTTAAGAACATAAACAAATTTATTTTAATGTTATATTAATTTTCTTTTATGCTTAATTTTTTAATAAAATTTTCATATATCCCGTTTACATAATCTAGACGACCGTACGTTTTAAAATTTCAAATTCAACTGTCATAGAATTTCACTGCCACTGAATGTTAAAGTGATAATTATCATTTCAACTAAATAGCAACAATTGAACGTACACATAGAGGGCGTGAATGTGTTTGTGCGTGTATGTAAATATTAATATTCTCTCCGAGTCGCGCAATCAAACACAAACGCCGTTTCAAGGAATTGTTAAGTGTAATAATCATGTAGCTTTCTTGTGTTTGCAGATAACCGCGGATATATAAGTGAATAAATACATATTTACCGTTAACAACTGAATCATGTTTCGTAAACATGTTTACAGCAATTTCAAAACATTACAAAAATAATTTATAAATAAATCGCTTTCAATTCCTAAAATAATTTAATTATTTATATTTTTTCGATAGAAACAGACATATTATGATTATTATTACATTCTTAAACCTATAATCATAAATATTTATTTCATTAAAACTGTGTAAGTTACACTTTATTTAGCTAAGAATTTTTGAAAGTACTAGTCCTCACCAAGAGATAGTATATTTAACGAAAATGAAATGAAATTTCAATTTTGTTTGCTTCTTGACACTAGAGAAATGATATTTATATTATATATTGTATATAATAAAGCATTTACGCGATGAGGGTGATTTCAGTCGATTCAAGCCAAACGATATCACCTGAAAGCGCGGAAATGTTTATATTACATTCAAAAGCATTTAATGATTGATTTTGCGATCTAAACATAGGGTTCAATTGCATATGTATAAACATATGACTCTTCCTTACATATAAAAATGAGACATAAAAGAAATTCAAGAGCATACCTACTTAAAATATGATAAATATGATATCATTTTATCGGCTTTTGGTCGATAATTCTGAATCGCTTGCTATAATAAAACGTGAATTACATCTCTTATCATTCAGAGTGCCGGATAATTTACCCTTACCAAAACCTATGCACGGTATAAAAATAATAATTCAGCAGTAATGAAACAAATCCTTATTCTAGGGAATATATATAAAAATTATCGACAGAAGAGATATATATAGAAGGTGGCATTCAGTACATTCGATTTTAAGGTACCAAAAAGAGAAATACATTATACTTCTATAAGAACCGCTACACCAACGCAAACTAGGAGAATTAAAGTTGTGATAGCTAATTGCCTCAATATGATAACAATGCCAATATCAAAGCTACGCAAATGAATCTCAGAATTGATATATGGAACGCAAAAGGACTTGCAAATCGTACAAGAGAAACAGAAGCTTATTTACATTTACATCATATTGAAGTCTTTTTCGAATTTCGAAAACTCATTTCATTGATCGAACTTATTTCCAGCGTAAAAGATACGATACTGCTTCATGCAATTATCCTGATAATAGCGCTCACGGCAGGTGCGGATTTGTAGTTAAATCCTCTTCAAATTATGCCGTTCTATCATTATAACCCCCATTTCAAGTTTCTAGAATTCGAATTAAATGTGACAATTCTGATCGCTTACTATATTCTGCATATTTTTTAACTGCAAGATGTAGTATCAACCTTTAATCATTTAGATAATTTCTTTCTTAAACTAGGGGCCAAATTCCTCGACGGAGGAGAACTTTAATGCTAAACATCCCTGATGGGGTTCAAGGGTTGAAAATCCCGAGGCCAACGAACTCTACCAAGTGCCTCCAAAAAAAAAAACCCGTTTTCATACTTTTATGATTTAGTACCAAAATTTAGGTGTAAATCAAGGTCAATAACATAACAATCTCTTCAAGAAGACCCATTATTACTTCAGCCTATACCTTGTTGTAGCCCGGATACTTTTCTTGTTCAAAAGAGATATTTCACGTTTTACCTCCTCAAGGGATATTCCTGTAATGAGTAGATCCATTCGGCAAGGACTGTCAAGAAACTTTGTAATTTCTCTTTCGTGTTCGGGATTGTTAAAACAGAAAGCTTGAAACGTAGATTCTAAACGTTTTAGAAAGGCAAGTGTCTTAGTAGAATCTGATTTACACCATCTGCCATCTAAGTTTTATCTCTTTGATGATCTTTTTAAACATTTTATAGCATTCCAAAGCTTATGATTCTCATATTTTGTTGCAGAAGAGTTTCTTAGAAAAGATGGCAGATTTTTGTTTTTAAAACCAGGTAAACGCCACTTGGCCAATCGGTTTGTCTCCTAGTTCAATTGTGTGACTAAATCATTATGAAAATGTGCTGAAATAATGGCGGTGCTTAAAACCACTAAACCAAACGATGACATCAACCCCGAATTTCAATTTGCGTTTCACCATAAGCATAGTACGCGTAAAGAATGTCATCAAATCGTGAAAGAAGTACAGAAAGTGCTAGAAAATAAACAGTAATTTTCTTGGACGTGAAGCCAGCTTTCCATAGAGTATCCAGCACTTCTTTTTAAATTTAAAAGAACCTTTCTGCTCCTCTTTATCTAGTTCCTTGTTCGTGCTTACAAAATTGCTTCCATAGGGTAGTGTATTACGCCTTGTACTCCATACTATTTTCTCGTCCGATATGCCGCTAGCTGAATCCGTCGCAGTCGCTACTCATGCGGAAAATACGATATAAATTGCACGCTGCGAACGTAAAACCAAATTTGTAACTTGTGTTCAGACACACCTTAATAAGATATCTGTTTGGCGAAAGAGATGGAACATATCATCACATCTGCTTTAAGAGAAAGGCGATTGGCCCCCGTATCTTTTAATGACGTCCCGGTTCCTGAATCGAACTGTATTAAATGCCAAAGCATGCTTCTGCACAGAAGATCAACGTGGAAAATTACATAAAGGCAAAGAGAAAGCGTTTGGATATAAAAACAAAACGTCTATATTGGTTAAGTGGCCAAAAACCAAAGTGAAGTCTAGAAAATAGGTTGCTATTATACAAGGCAATTGTAAAGCCGGTTGGCATTCATCTCTGCGGTACTGGGAGCATCTTCAACATTGAGTTTTTTCAGCGCTACCAATCGAAAATGGTAATATTAATCATAGGAGCTCATTGGATTAGGGTAAAGAAACATATTCATAACGATTTAAGCATTCCCGTAGTAAAAAAATAAATGGTTAACTTCGATTCTTGATATCTTGATCGGCTTAGCCAGCATTCGAACTTGCTCGTAATAGACTTACTAGACGATAACGAGGTGATAAGCAGACTGAAGAGGTACAAATGAATGCAAATATGTATGTGTGTAAATATTTATATACTGTTAACTCATTGCAAGAATGAAATAAGTTTCTCATATATATAAAAACAATAAAGTTATTGTAAACTTAAGATTGTGCCATTTACTCATTATTATATTAAATAGATTGCAACCATATGTACGACAAAAAAAAATCGTTATATTTTTTAATTATAATTACTGTACTTTTCAGTTCTATGCCAAAGAAATGGCAAAAAGCCTGTGAAACGGGTGCGTCCTCTTTAATGTTGTAGAAATTGAAGTGTCCATAATATTTGGCTGTAAAAGTGGATTTAGAACATAAATCGTATTTCTTGAGAAGGAAATGCAATATGAGTTAATGTTTATAATAATATTGCATGGGTCAAGCACATGATTGTAGTGAAGAAGGAGGACGTCTAGATCATCAACACCGGAATCAGCGAGAAACGTACAAACTTATTGCCGCATCCTTAGATCAACGTCTAAACATTGTCACGAATGTTTTAAATTCCCAAAACAAGTATTGAGAGACGCGGATCAGTTAACAGACTTCTCCTGCTTCCGATAATCTCATGATACTATTAGCAAAGCAAGATCTCTTCAAATCGTCTAAGGCAATTTCTATTTGAAAATGGGAAGGTCGACGATTATTAGATGCCAATCTGCCAGGAAAAGTAGCTCGGAGAGTCCCCTTGCTCAGAAAAGTTAATTGGGAGAAGGGGAAAGACTTTGCTTTGCCCATATAAATTTTCCATAAAAAGTGGTGCACACCCGAAGACGAAGAAAGTGAAAATTCTGCGACGAGAATTTAAATTAATTACAAAACCGGTGCAGCATGGCAGAGAAAATCTTATAGTATCGGGCTGCTTTTCTTTGGAGTATATCGGTCGGGTGCACATAAAAGGAAATAAAAGGAATAAATTTATACATAAAAATTAATGAGAATCTTTGATACTACCGAAGAAAATATGTTGTTGCTATGGAAATTGCAGCAGGAATCATTCATCCAATTTGGTGACAGCGTGGGAACGGTAGCATAATTTGAATGTCACTGAATGGCCTATTGAGAACCTTCAGGAAGCATTTAAATGTCAAATTTCTTGTAGCAATGACAATTCACGATTATTAAAAGTGGAGCATTACACGAGAGAGCAACACATTTTTATTGTCGAACAATATTTCAAAAATATTGAAAGTTTGGCGGCCAAATCACGCAAATTTCGTACAAAATATGGTCACCTTGATGGTTAGGTGAATCGCAATAACTGCCACAGTTAAGATTCATAGAACCCACATGTGATTGTCGAAAACAAACTCATCCACATCGTGTCACTATTTGGTGCGGATTTTCGACTGAACCAACATTTGCCAACCAACATGCTTCTTCGAAAGTCAAGCTGGTCAAGCAAACACGGTTACTAGTGCTCGATAGCCAAGTTATTTCTGCCTAAATTGAATTATATTGATATGATTTCAACCCGAAAGTACCATACGCCATGCATCCCGTGAAACAATTCAATTGGTGCGTCAGAAATCCCCTCTTCGTATACTCTCTCGTTTCGGTGATCAAAGTTGACCCTCTGGATTCAATGTTATTTAATACAACTGGCTTTTTTTTGTGTGTCAACGAGCGCACAGCTATCCGAGCATTGAAGGAGG